GGTGTGAGTGGGGCCAGTGCCTGCAGTGGGTGCAAGCAGCAGCTCTGGTGCTGGCAACAGGTGTGAGCAGGGCTGGCGCCGGCATCATGTACGAGCGTTGGGCGGGACAGCAGCATGGGAGCAAAGAATTTCCAGTAACCACGAGAGGCTCACCTCTATGACAGTGACTGGTGCCCCACCTTGATCTGGCGCCCCCACTCACCTGCTCCACCATCCCGCCATGGCTGATGCCCGCCATGTTCTGTGCTCTGCTGCCTGCTGCCAACGCCTGCCATGTTCTGCGTGCACCCCCTGGTGGTTAGCACACGTCATAGCAACCGGTTATTTAGTTGTTCTGCCATTCGGTCTATTTGCATATTAGGGTTTTATATATATAGATCAGGTCTAATTATGACAGGGTATGACTTTTGCTTAAATTTGCACAGCTTTTAAAGACCTTAATTCAAGGGGATGAAAAGATTTTCAGCTTTCCTGCATCTGTGCGTAAGATTTCTATCATTGGTCTTGTTTTGAATGGCAATTTAAAAACTTTTAAATAATTTTTGAAAGATATTCTCTAAGTTCTTTTGTTTCTAAAAGCCACTATGTTGTCATTTATAATTAAAAAGAGAGAATTACACATTAAACATCTAAGATCTTAATGATGTAGTATTTGTAGTTATACTAAAGGTCTACACCAAACCTACCTTTCCTGGAGGATTTAGTAAATTCTTGGTTATTATTTTTTCTATTTATGAAAGGTATTTTGAAACTGAGACACACACATTTCTCTGATGTATGTGGCTCCCTATTCTAAATTAAAGCTGTTAGACTTCTGGTGAATCTTATGATTTGTAGATATTTCACCGAATAATTTTTATATGAGTAACTTCTGTTCATTTTACATTACTTAGGAATATATATGAATTAATATGTTATAACTGCATATTTTAATTAAATTTATAAACTTATGAATATACTTAATTTATTAAATAAATGTTTAATTTTATTTTAAAACTTATGAAAACACAAAGAAGAGACTAACAATCTCCCATACCTTGTCATTCGGCATTAACTGTTACTAACAGGTTGGCATGTTTTATTCAATTCTGGGAACAGGGATCACAATTTTTGTAAAATTGATATGCATTTACTCATATTCACACCATGCAGAAAGGCACAAAGGTGAAAGTTTCTAAAATCTTTCAACTTGGAAATAACAGTTAACCATCAGTTTAACAACATTCTAGTAGATACTCTTTAAAAATGGATGAATGGCCCTGGCTGGTGTGGCTCAGTTGGTTAAGAGTCTCCCATACACCAGAAGTTCCCCATTTTGATTCCCAGTCAGGACATATGCCTGGGTTGCAGGCTGGATCCCAGTGCTGGGGAGTGCTGGAAGCAACCAATTGATGTTTCTCTCTCACATTGTTGTTTCTCCCTCTCTCTTCCTCTTTCTCTAAGACCAATAAAAATATTTTTTTTAAAAGCCCAAATGGGGAAAAAATATCCTTGGGTGAGAATTTAAAAAGGGGGGGGAGGGGTAAATGGATAAAATGACTTTTATAAAGATGACTTTATATTCTGAAATTTTTCTTAGGTCAAATTTATTTGCATTTAATAGAAAAGGGGAAATAAAACTGAAGGAGGTATGAAATTTGAAATAAATATTTCCTTTATGGGAGATATTTTTCCTTCAGTTTTTTCAGTTTTGGCTTTATGTATTTTGGGGCTCAATTATTAGGTACACATCTATCTATATAAAACCCTAATATGCAAATTGACCGAATGGCAGAATGACCAGCGGAACAACCGGCTTCTATGACATGCACTGACCACCAGGGGGCAGACGCTCAGCGCAGGAGCCTTCCCCCAGCCCTCAGGCCCCTACTGGTGGCGGTGGTGGGTGGCGGGGCTGGCGAGCGGGCAGTGACAGGCCAGCCAAGGCAGGTGCGAGCGGGGGCCCCCGATTACCCCACAGATCGGCCCTGATCGCCAGCCAGGCCTAGGGACCCTACCCATGTACGAATTTCGTGTACCGGGCCTCTAGTATTTTTATAATTGTCATATCTTTATGATAATAAACATTATAAAAATGTCCTTTTGTTTCTAGTAGTAGTTTTTGTCTTTTGTCTGAAATTACTATAGCCACTTTGGCTCTTTTGATTATTGTCTGCAAAGTATATATTTTTTTCCATATTTTTACTTTTAAGCTTTTTGTGTCCTTAAATCTAAAGTGTGTTTCTTGAAGACAGCATATAGTTGGGTCAATGTTGTTGTTGTTTTTAATCCATCTGCCAGTGTCTGCTTTTTGGTTGGTACGTTTAATCCTTTAACATTTAATGTAATTTCTGATAAAGTAGCACTTATATATGCCATTTTGTTACTTGTTCTTGTATTTCTTAACTTTTCTTGTTCCTCAGTCCCACCATCACTGCCTTCTTTTGTGTTTAGTAAATATTTTCTAGTATGCTACTTTAATTCCCTTATTGTTTATTTAAATATGTGTGTGTGAATAGTTTGTTATTTTCTTAGTGGTGGCCTGTGAACTACAATTAAATATCTTAATTTATAACTCTTTAATTTTGATTAATACCAAGTTATTTTCAATAATATACAAACGTTTTAATAATATACTCCTATATAGACCTATTATCCTCTTCCTTCATGGTATTATTGTTTTGAATTATGTCTTTTTACATTGTGTGTTCACCAACATAGATTTATAATTATTGCCTCATGCAATTGTCTTTTAATTAAGATAGGAGAAAAAATGGGAGTTTCAAACAGAAAGTACATTAGTATTGTCTTCTATATTTACTTATGTCAGAATCTTTAATGGTGTTCTTTATTTCTTCATGAGAATTTGAGTTACTGTTTAGTGTCCCTTCATTTTAGCCTGAAGCATTGATTCCCTTTAATGTCTTGTAGAGCAGGCTTACTAATGAAGAATTTTTGTGTTTTTTGGGAATTCCTCTTTCATTCTTAAAGAATAATTTTGCTGAATGTTAAATTTTTGGTTGACAGTCTGTTTCTTTCGACTCTTGCATGTTTCATCCACTATCTTCAGGTCTTCATGTTTTCTGATGAGGAATCAGTTGTTAATCTTATTGAGAATCCTTTGTTCATAATGAGTTATTTCTCTTAATGCTTTTATATTCTCTGTTTGTCTTTTGACAGTTTGATTATGATGTATCTCAGAGCAGATCATTTTAAGTTTATTGTACTTGGAGTTCATGAATTTGGATGTTTAGATAGATTTTTAAAAATCAAATTTGTGAAGTCTTCTGCCATTATTTTTTCAAATATTCTTTTGGCATCCCTTCCTTCTTCTGAGATCACTCATTTTACTTATGTTGTTAATGGTGTACCAGCGTCTCTGAGGTGCAGTTAATTTTTTTTGTTGATGTTCTTTTTTCTTTGTGTTTCTCAGACTGGATAATTTTAATTGACCTATTTTTGAGTTCACTGATTATTTTTTTCTGCCTGCTCAAATCTGCTGTTGGTTCCCTGTAGTGAATTTTTAAAAATTTAGTTATTGTGCTTTATCATCTCTATTTCTCTATTGATATTCTTTATTTGGTGAGACATTGTTCTCATACTTAGGTTTATTAACATGGCTTCCTTTAGTTCTTTGAATATATTTAAAATAATTGGTTTAAAGTTTTTGGCTTCCAGCATTTAAACTTTCTCAGGGAAATTTCCTATTGACATTTTTTTTTTTCTGTGCATGGACCATAATTTTTTGTTTATTTGCATGTCTGATAATTTTTTGTTTTAGTTGTTTTTATGAAGGAGAGAGTATTTTTAGAGATCATACTTTATCATTTCTGCTGATATCACTTATGTATTAGCTTTTATACATAAAATATTCTTAATATAAATCAGATATTTTAAAATTCTTATGCCTTTCTGTCTGCCTGACACAAGACTGTATGGTCTGCCCAGCTGGTGTGGCTCCGTGGATGAGTGTTGGTCCATGAATCAGGAGGTCTTGTTCGATTCCTTGTCAGGGCACATTGCCTGGGTTGCAGGCTCAATCCCCAATAGAGGGTGTGCAGGAGGCAGCCGATCAATGAATCTCTCCCATCATTGATGCTTCTATATCTCTCTCTCTCTTCCTTCCTCTCTCTGAAATCAATAAAAACATATATATTTTTAAAAATACAAGTATGCTACATGGACTTCTAAGTATGGGATTTTGTTTCACTTACAAATCTATGTTAATATTATAAGTACTATGAAAAATGTTTGCTTTTTAAAATTCATAGGCACCTCTTTTTGGCTATCATGATCCCAGCAAGTAGGGATAATGAAGTTGGCATACCTTTCAGTTAGTAAATGTCAAATACTCTATTCAGTAGTTTAGATGCAACAATTCCATTTAATCCTTACAGAATCCCTCTGAAACTCCGAGAAGGTAAATAATTTTTACTAGGACACACTACTAGTAAGTGGTAGATCCAAAATGTAAAATTAATCTCCTTAACTCCAGAGCTTAAGATTTTAGTGGCTGTGTTACACTTTTTCTGTGAAGTGTATATGTAGCCTTATGGACAAGTCTCCTGACAATTGCCTGGGGCACTTGTTGAAAGATGAGTTCCTAGACCCCAAACCTATACATATTGAACCAAAATCTTTGAGATTTGGTGTCTCTGGATTGCTTTTTTCTTGTAACTTTGGCTAAAAGAAACAAAACAGTAGGCCACTTCAAATTTGTATGAAAATATTATTCTACAATTCAAAGAACACTAAATTTTCTCACAGTTTTTTGAATTTTAGACGTACAAATTCTTTACTTCTGTGATATATTAATTCTGAGATAATTAATAAAACTTTTTGTTTCACTTTCTGTGTTGATTGGGATAATATAAGCTATTGAAAAATTAATTGATTTTCTAATGTGCCAGCCAATGCTTTATAACTTTTGCATGTATTATTTTACTGTGAACTGTCATTTATTTATACATTAAAATTTAGTTGAAAAATTAAAGCAGTGGATAAACCACACCTTATTTTAGGTTGAACTCCCACCACCTGATCTTGGACCAAGTTCTGCATTAAATCAGACACTCATGTTGTTGCGTGAAGTTTTGGCATCTCACGATTCTTCAGTTGTACCGTTAGATGCCCGTCAAGCTGATTTTGTGCAGGTATGTTGTAAATTTGTTTTTAATTATTGCTTATTACTCTTCTATTATAAATTCTGTTGAAATTCTGGTATTTTATGATCCGTATATTTTGACAAACTTTTTCATTGATTTTTCTTTCAAATATTAAATTAATCCTCTTTAATTTAAAAAATATTCATTCCGTTATGCTCATTTAAAAAAGTATTCTGATTATTATGCCATTTAATCTTTTCTTATGTGATTCTGTAAGTTGGCACCCTTCAAATTAGTTTGGCTTTCATTCTGAAGTGCCATTAACCCAGGCATGTATCACTGATTGGGAATTAAATAATACATTTTATTTTATATTTCATTTATAGGTTTTATCGTGTATCTTGGATCCTCTCCTTCAGATGTGTACTGTGTCAGCCAGCAATTTAGGCACAGCTGACATGGCAACTTTCATGGTCAATTCACTATATATGATGAAGACAACATTAGCTCTATTTGAATTTACTGACCGACGTCTGGAAATGCTACAGTTTCAGGTTAATGTTGCCATAAAATGACTTCACTGTTATGGAATCATTTTTCCATACATGATCTCAGTTACTAGCTGTATGCCCTAATTCCTATAAACTCTTCGTTATAGTCTGATGGAAGGCTGCTCTCTCTCTCTCTCTCTCTCTCTCTCACACACACACACACACACACACACACACACACACATTCAGTCTTTTAGTTTTGTTTTGGAGAAGTCAGAATATGTAATGGGTAAGATAGTATATTCAAGCCACAGTATGTGGTGGTAGAATGAAGCTTTTCTGATTAATTTGAACATTCTATATGCAGATTTCAGTTTCTGAACTGTAAGTAATAATATGCTATGGTGTGGCTAGTGCAGAAGATGTTATAGATGACAATTATATTTTTATCTGTGTATAAACCAATGTTAGGCAAAACATTACAATTTGTTATACCAATCACTCTCTTCCTTAAACCAAATGGTATCTCTCAGGATTTTATAAAATGGCTAAAACGAAGCCTTGTAGAAAATTTACCAGATACTTGAATTCTGATTTTGAAATAGTGATTTTTGGTAGATATAATTTTTTAAAATTCTGAATGTTGTGTTACCACAAGTACATAAACAGTTTGGCAGTGGCTATAGTAAACATTCATTTGTAAAGTTTTGGGGTTTTCTGAGGAATGAGTGTGCTCCATCTAAATTTGTGATATTTTCTATTTAAAAAGAAATATAATGAAGTGTGATTAATTTTCCTTTCTTGCATAATGTTTTTATATAGAATTAGTAAATTTCTTTTTAAAATATTAGTTTTTACTGTATCACTAATTCAATTTCAAATTCTTTCATTTGTCTAAATCTTTTTCTAGGTATTTAAGTATATCAGGTATTCATCAATATGTTTTATCACCAATTACCTGCATTTCTTAAATATTCATAGACTTTTTTTTTTGCTTTTCAAGAGAGCAGGCCCCACTATGTAAGTGCTTAAGTGTGCACTTGCATTCTTCTTGTTGATAGGCTGTTGACTGGTCCCAGTGGCATGGACCAGCCCATAGTGTGCGAACGGATTATACAAGGATGTGGATACTGGAAGACATGGTTTTTTAGGCCCCGCAAAGTAGCAGTTTACCTTGTTGAGTAAAAGATCCTTGATTTTCAGACCTTTTCTATTAATTCTATTAATTTTCTTCTACTCTGACTCAGCTTCACTTAGTCTTTCAAGTAAAAAGTCCAGGCTAGTCTTTTTCTCTTTTGTTTGTGGCAATCTGTTTTATCCATCTGGAAACTTGTGAGGATGTTCCTTTGAGTTCATATATTTCCTCAGAATATTTTTTGGTATATCTCTTTTTCCCTTATTTTTATTTTGGACTTTTCAGAGCCATTTGAGTTTGAAGATTTAACCCTTTCTTTTTCTCAATAAAGTTTGTATTATCTTTAATTAATTATTACTTGTCCATCTGTTACTTTTTATATTCTGAAGCTCCAGTACTTATTTGACTTTATCTCTTGAGTCTGTCTTCTAATTTCTTTTTAAATCTCTTCACTGTAATCTATTTCTTTGATGTTTATTCCATGTTACTTTTCTCCCATTTTTCTTTCAGATAATGATTTGGTTCTTATCAGTAACTCTTTAATTAAATGTTTACATTTGCCCATTTCATTTTTCTTTGATTCTCAGTAAGTCTAGTAAATAAGGACTCATTTTACATACTTGGGCATTCACTTAAAAAAAATAAAAGTACTCTGTGTCTTTCAGTAATGTTACCTCAAGAAGAGATACCTGCCCTAACTGGTTTGGCTCAGTGGATAGAGCGTCGGCCTGCGGACTGAAAGGTCCCAGGTTCGATTCCAGTCAAGGGCACATGCCGGGGTTGTAGGCTTGATCCCCAGTAGGGGGCCTCCAGGAGGCAGCTGATCAATGATTCTCTCTCATCGTTGATGTTTCTCTCTCCCTCTCCCTTCCTCTCTGAAATCAATAAAAATATATTTTAAAAAAAAAGAAGATATACCTGTTCTGATTATTCAGATGTGTTTCCTCTTAGAAGCTATTCACCTCTTTTAAATTAGTTGTAAGTTTTTTTAGGGGGAGAGGTTCAGCTATTGGAGTTACTTAGTCAGTGGCAAGCATTACGATGATAATAGCAGTTAGTAGTGTACTGTGTTACTGGCAAACTGGTAAAACTGAGGGAACTTCCTGGTGAGGAATAGAAGGAAGACCTCCAGACTCTCAGGCCTGTACTGGTAAAATTAAGGGAACAGCAGATTTCTTCCCACTAGGAAATACTTCAACCCAATAGGTAGTTCCCTTCTGTGGCTTCTGCCTCTGGCTTCCCAAAGACAGCACAAAGCAGATAGCACATACAAGTCATTTCTGCTACCTGGGTCTTAGGGAGCTCTTGAACCTGAAATCTTTAACCAACCTTCCTCAACTCTCCCCTTGTTGTCACAGACCTGCTTTCTCCTCAAGAGAACTTACTGCCTCAGCCCTAATGGGATTTACTTCAGGCTTTTCCAGATGGCGTATTTGAGTGTTGGAGTCAGTCCAGCAAGTTAGGAGGGTGAGGGAGTGAGGAGGTTAGGAACATCAGGTCCTTATTTTCCCAGAATTCTTACTAAGTATTTTATTTTACACTGCCGTTTGTTAGTGTTTTTGTTTGTGTTTTACTTATTACAGCTTTTTTTAAAATGTATTTTTATTGATCTCAGAGAGGAAGGGAGAGGAAGAGAGAGATAGAAACATAATTGATGAGAAAAAATCATTGAATGGCTGTCTCCTGCATACCCACTACTGGGGATCAAGCCTGCATTCTGGGCAACCAGGTTTGACCAGAATCGAATCTGGGACCCTTCAGTCCGCAGGCTGACGCTCTAGCCACTGAGACAAACCGGCTAGGGCTTATTACCAGATTTTAAAAGAGCTGAGAAGCAACTCAAAATTTTGAACTCGTGGCTAGTCTTGGGATCCTCTTTGATTATCATCTTTATCATCTGCCTTTCTCTCCTTTTTGTAGAAGCACTTCCTCTTTAGGGGAAGGAAATGCCTTTGTTACAGAAGCAGTCCCTGTGCCCTACAGTCTGGTATCATAGCCACTTCAAGAAACAGCCCCTTGGTGAAGAACTAAGACTGCAGGATAGTCTACTTCTACTCTCATCAGTCTTATAAGTCTTTTTTTAAAAAAATATATTTTATTTATTTTTTACAGAGAGGAAGGGAGAGGGATAGAGAGTTAGAAACATTGATGAGAGAGAAACATTGATTCAGTTGCCTCCTGCACACTCCCTACTGGGGATGTGTCTGCGACCAAGGTACATGCCCTTGACCGGAATCGAACCTGGGACCTTTCAGTCCGCAGGCCGACGCTCTATCCACTGAGCCAAACCAGTTAGGGCAATCTTTTAAAATATTTTTTTATTGTGTTTTATTTTAGATTGAAGCACATTTGGACACACTTATAAATGAGCAAGCTTCTTATGTTTTAACTAGATCAGGATTGAGTTACATCTATAACACCATACAGCAACATAAACCTGAACAGGTAAGCATGTGGATGTACCTAATTAGAGAAATACCTCAGGTTAGAGTATGGGTTCTAGAGCTAGACTTTGGTTTGAATCTTGGCTATGCCACTGTTTTCACTAAGAAAATGACGTATCTCCATTTCTTCTTTTGTAGATCGGAGGTAATAATATGTGCTTCAAGGGGTTGGTCTCAGATTAAATGAGATAATACATGTATAGTTCTATGAATTATCTTTTTATTACAGACAGTTTGGGTTAAAAGTAATGAAAATATTCAAAAATTAGTATAAAACATATAAAGAATATTCTGGAAAATATTATCTATATTTTTAACTATATATTAACTATATCATTATCAGTTGATTGAACTCATGCATTACTATATGAATAGCAGTCATCCCTTCTTTAATTTAGCAAATCATGGTATATTACTTTGGAAAGGTAAATACTTCTGGGGCCAGCATATGCTCTTATTAAGTTATAGAATTCCAATAGAAATAGATAATGGAGTGGTAGAAACCCTTGAAAATTAGGTAAGCATCCTTCTTTAAAAAGCAAAAAACTCTTTTAAATGATGTCAACATGAAAACTATTTTACAATGGGGGGATAAGTACACATATGTAATACCTTAATCAATAAAGAAAAAAAAAGAATATTTTATATCCCAGGAATTCTTAAATGAAGCTGTCAAAAATCATGTTATAAATTTTTTCTTTTGATAAAGCAATAAGCAAATTTCTTCCAGAAGGAACCAATGCTGTTGTGTTTTTATACTATATAAAATTGTCAAAGTTTAACGCTTAAAGCCTCTATGTCTCATTGCCATTCTCTAACTGATTGCATTTTTTTTTGCTTATCTGAGATATCCTGATTTTTCCGTTGTTAATAAACATGTGCTTTTTACTATCTCCAACAAATATTATTGAGTGCCTTTCTGCTACTTATATAAAAATGAACATATCATGATCCCTGTTATAATTAAGGTTGAAGAGATGATACTTTAGTTCTTTGGAAATAAGCTAAATTTCCAAATGTGGGCAATTCACTAATGGAATATCTATACTAACAAAAGGGTAATATGCTAATTAGACCGGGTCGACTGGCCATCTTCTGGTCATCCTGCCTTCCTTTTGGAAAAAGCTACAGTGGCGGGGTCCGAGGCAGAGGCAGTTAGGGGCGATCAGGCCGGTAGGGGAGGGCAGTTAGGGGCAATCAGGCCGGCTGGGGAGGGCAGTTAGGGGTGATCAGGCATGCAGGCAGAGGGGTTAGGGGCTATCAGGCAGGCAGGTGAGCAGTTAGGAGCCAGAAGTCCCAGATTGTGAGAAGGATGTCTGAGGGGTCCCGGATTGAAGAGGGTACAGGCCGGGCTGAGGGACCCCCCCTCCTGTGCATGAATTTTGTACACTGGGCCTCTAGTCTGTATTATAAAAAGCCAGCAACTGGAACTCCGTAATACCAGAAACAACCAGTCGCTATGACGCCCACTGCAGCCAGTGAACCAGTCCAATTCAGGGGTGGGGCCAGCTGGCCAGTCCCCACCGCGGCCCTTCCCCCTGGCCGGCCCCGTCCCTGATAGCGCCCCCCCCTCATCCCAGTAGGAGGCGGGGCCAGCCGGCCAACCTCCTACATCCCCTCTCCACTGCCAGCCCCACCCCTGATGGGTCCCCACCACCCCGATCAGCCTGCAGCCCCCCACCCCGGCCAGCTCCACCCCCAATTGGCACCACCCACACCAATTGGGGGTGGGGCTGTCCAGCCAACCTCCCACAGCAGAGCCCCTGGCTGCTGACCCCTGATCGGCCCTCCCACCCCAATCGGGGGTGGAGCCCACCAGCCAATCACCCTCGGCCCCTCTCCCCAGCCAGCCTGGCCCTGATAGGGCCCTGATCGGGGTGGCCGGCCCGGCTAACCTTCTGCCATCTCCTCCTCCCGACAGGCCCGGCCCCAACCCACCTGATTGGGGCTGGGCTGGCTGGACCCCACCCATGCACGAATTCATGTCCTGGGCCTCTAGTAATTTATAAATGAACTGAAATGCATAGCATGTTTTTTGTATTTTGTTTCCTTTTCTTTTTTGTTTATTTATTTATTTATTTATTTATTTATTTATTTTAGGGTTCTTTAGCTAATTTTCCCAACCTAGATTCTGTGGCACTGAAGGCTGCAATGGTAAGTCCATAATAAAGCATTTCAATATAGGTTTCCTTACGGAACATTATTCTTTTTAAAAATTTATTATAATTTTCAATTACAGTTTACATTCATTGTTATTTTGTATTAGTTTCAGGTGTACTGTATAGTGATTAGACAATCATATACTTTACAAAGTGATCCACCTGCTATTTTAAGTACCTGCTTGCATGATAAATATTTATTACAATATGCTGTACTTTACATCCCCATGACTGTTTTGTAACTAACAGTTTGTACTTCTTTATTTCTTCACCTTCTTCAACCAGCCCTTCAGTTCCCCTCCCCTCTGGCAACCATCAGTCCATTTTCTGTGTCTATGAGTCCATTCCTGTTTTGTTTGTTCATTTATTTTGTTCTTTAGATTCCATGTATGAGTGAAATCATATAGTATTTTTTGTTTTCTGTCTGACTTATTTCACTTAGCATAATATCCTTGAAATTCACCCATTTTGCAAATGGTAAGATTTCATTCTTTTTTATGGCCAAGTAATATACCATTGTATATATCTACCACAACTGTTTTATCCATTCATCTTTTGATGGGCACTTGGGTTGCTTCTGTAGCTTGGCTATTATAAATAATGCTGAAATGAACATATGGGTGCATGTATCCTTTTGAATTAGTGTTTTGGGTTTCTTCCGGTATATACCAGAAGTGGAATTGCTGTGTCATAAGGCAGTTTCATTTTTTAATTTTTTGAGGAACTTCCATACTGTTTTCCTTAGTGGCTGAACCAATCTGCATTCCCACCAACAGTGCATGAGGGTTCCTTTTTCTCTACATCCTCACCAACACTTTTTTTGTTGATTTATTGATGAGAGCCATTCTGACGGGAGTGAGGTAATATCTCATTGTGGTTTTAATTTGCATTTCTCTAATGATTAGTGAAATTGAGCATTGGCTTCTCTATGTTGTTGTTTTTGGAGAAGTGTCTATTCAGGTCTTTTGCCTATTTTTTAATTGGATTGCATGGGGTTTTTTATTTTTATTTTTTGGTGTTGAATAGTATGAGTTCTTTATAAATTTTGATATTAACCCCTTATCAGAAATAGAATTGGCAAATATCTCCTCCCATTCATTAGGTTCTCTTTTCATTTTGTTGATGGTTTCCTATTCTGTGCAAAACCCTTTTAATATGATGTAGTTCCATTTGTTTAATTTTTTTTTGGTTTCCCTTTCTGGAGGAGATATGACAGAAAAAATAATGCTAAGAGAGATGTCAAAGATTTTGCTCTTTGTTTTTTCTTCTAGGAGTTTTATGGTTTTGATTCTTACATTTAAGTCTTTAATGCATTTTGATTTTTTTTCAGTATATGGTGTAAGAATGAGTCCAGCTTCATTTTTTGTTTTACATGTATCTGTCTAGTTTTCCCAGCACCATTTACTGAGTAGACTACCTTTAACCCATTGTATGTTCTTGTCTCCCTTTTAATATATTAACTAGAGGCCCGATGCACGAAATTCATGCACTCGGGGAGGGGGGGTGTCCCTCAGCCCGGCCTGCACCCTCTCGCAGTTCAGGAGCCCTCGGGGATGTCTGACTGATGGCTTAGCACTGCTGTGGAGGCAAGAGAAGCTCCCACCACCGCCGCTGTGCTCGCCAGCCATGAGCCCGGCTTCTGGCTGAGCAGAGCTCCCCCTGTGGGAGCGCACTGACCCCCAGGAGGCAGCTCCTGTGTTGAGCATCTGCCCCCTGGTGGTTATTGCATGTCATAGCTACCAGTCGTTCTGCCGTTTGGTCAATTTGCATATTAGCCTTTTATTATATAGGATTGGTTATATACATGTAGGTTTATTTCTGGCTCCATTCTCTTCCATTTATCTGTGGTTCTGTTTTTATGCCAGTACTATACTCTTGATTACAATAGTCTTTATATAGTTGGATATCAGATAGCATATAAATTTTAGGATTATTTGTTCTAGTTCTATGAAAAACGCCATTGATTTTTTGATAGAGATTGCATTGAATCTGTAGATTGCTTGGGTAGTATGGACATTTTAGTGATATTAATTCTTCCCATCCATGAGCACAGTGTACATATGCTTACATTTGTTTGTATCTTTTTCAGTTTCTTTAATGTCATAATTTTTTGAGTATAGGTTTCTTACTTTCTCTGTTAGATTTATTCCTAGGTTTTTTAAAAAATGCAATTGTAAATGGTATTGTTTTCTTACTTTCCCTTTCTTATAGCTCATTATTGGTATATTAAATTTCAACCAATTTTTGAGTATTTATTTAGTACATTGCTACTTGACTTTATTTATGAGTTCTAGTAGTTTTTTGGTAGAATCTTTAGGGTTCTCTATATACAGTATCATGTTATCTTCAAATGACAGTTTTACTTATTCCTTTCCAGTTTGGGTGCCTTTTATTTCTTCATGTCTGATTGCTGTGGCTAAAACTTCCAATACTACCTATCCAATATAATAAAAGTGTAATATGCAAATCGACCAAACAGCGGAACAACCAGTCACTATGATGCACACTCAATGCAGGAGTTGCCCTCTGGTGGTCAGTGTGCACCCACAGGGGAAGTACTGCTCAGCTACAAGCCGGACTGACTGCTGGCGAGTGCAGCGGCCCGCTTCCGCAGCAGCGCTAAGGATGTCCGACTATAGCTTAGGCCCGCTCCCTGTGGGGAACGGGCCTAAGCCGTTAGTTGGACATGGCCCTAGGGCTCCTGGTTTGCGAAAGGGCGCAGGCTGGGCTGAGGGATCCCCTCCCCCCAATGCACGAATGTCGTGCACCAGGCCTCAAATATATATATATAAAAGCTTAAGCGACCATTATGACCTAATAACCATAATGACCAGTTGACCAGTCACTATGTTGCACACTGACCACCAGGGGGCAGATGCTCAATGCAGGAGCTGCCCCCTGGTGGCCAATATGCTCCTGCAGCCCACCTCCCACGGACCCGTCCCTCCACTGGCTAACCTCCCATGGCCCCTTACACCATCTCCTGGCTGGCTGGCCATCCTCCTGTGACACTCCCACCTTCCCTGGCCAGCCAACCTCCCATAGCCCCTTCCCCCGTCCAGCCCCCCACATTGGCCTCAGTCAGGGGGCTGGCTGGCCAACTTGCTGTGGTCCCTCCCTCTGGGCCCTGATTGAGGGGACCAGCAGGCCAACCTCCCGTGGTCCCTCCCCCAGGGCCGGCAGCCCCCCCCCCCCCCCCGATAGGCCTCGATCACCGGCCAGACCAAGGGACCCCACCCGTGCATGAATTCATGCACCAGGCCTCTAGTGTTGAATAAAAGTGGTGAAAGTGGACATCCCTGTCTTGTAACTTATCTTACAAGGAAACATTTTTAGTTTTTCCTTATTTAGTATGATGTTATCTTGCGGGCTTGTCATTAATGGCCTTTATAATATGGAGGTATGTTTTCTATATTTCCATTTTGCTGAGAGTTATTCCCATAAATGGGTGCTGGATATTCTTAGATGCTCTTTCTGCATATAATCCTGTGATTTTTATCCTTTGCTTTGTTTATGTAGTGTGTCACATTAATTGATTTGTGGATATTGAACCAATCTGGCATCCCTGGAATAAATCCTATTTGATCATGGTGGGATCATCTTTAGTGTATTGTTGGATTTGATGTCCTAGTATTTTGTTGAAGATTTTTGCATCTATGTTCATCCGAGATATTGACCTATAATTTTTTTTTTTTTGGTAGTGCTATCTAGTTTTGGAATTAGGATAGTGCTGGCCTTGTAAAATGAGCTTGGTAGTCTTCCTTCCCTCAAAATACTTTTTGGAATAGTTTGAGAAAGGTAGATGTTAGTTTTTCTTTGGAACCATTCATTTCAGGACTCTTGTTCATTGAAAGGTGTTCTTTTTTTAATCATATTTTGCTGGTCATTATCAGTCTGTTCAGATTTTCTATTTCTTCTTGATTTAGTCTTGGAAGAGTGTATCTTTCTAGGAATTTACCCATTTTTCCAGATAGTCTGATTTTTGACAGATAATTGTTCACATTATGTTTTTTATAATCCTTGTATTTCTGTGGTGTCAATTGTCACTTATATTTCATTTCTGATTTTATTTACTCTGCTGTTCTCTCTTTTTTTAATTAGTCTGGTTAAAGGTTTTTTAATCTTGTTTATCTTTTCAAAGAATCAGTCTTCGGTTTCATATATATAATAATAAAAGTGTAATATGCTAATTAGACCAGACGTCCTTCTGGATGACCTTCCAGACGAT